CCTCCTGAGTAGCTGGGACTACAGGCACGTGCCACCATGCCTGGCTAATTTTTGTATTTTTAATAGAGATGGGGTTTCACCAGGATGGTTTTGATCTCCTGACCTTGTGATCCACCCACCTCGGCCTCCCAACTCTTCCTATCTTTTGTTCATCCAGTGCCTCCTATGTGTGTCCCTGAATAAGTGGCCTCAGCAGATGGATAGCAGCTCACTTCATACAGGTTGGCCAGAGGTAGCAACGGTCATCAAGTCAGCGTGTGGGAAGTGCTCTAACCACAGTAGGTGCTCACGAACAGTAGCTTCTTTTAGAACCACTTGCCTGTGATCAGATGGCCTCTCTGGGAGCCAGAGAGTCAGTGTTGGGAGGTAGAAGGTGGGGGAAGGGGAGAAAGCTGTGGTGGGGAAAGAAGAGATATGCCTAAATTTTAGGAAAAATGTTCTGAAAGGCAAACTGCAAAGATGGAAGGGACAAGCTCCCTGTCAGCATCAGGAGGCTCCAGCCCTGGTGGCCCTGGAACCAGGACCAGCTATGGGACGTGAAGCCAGAGGATGTGAGGATTCAGAGGGCGTCCTCTTGAGGTTAGGGTGGGCCAGGCCCTAGAGCTTGGAGCAAGTGGCTCAGGGGAAAGGACCAGGCCAGGCCCAGGCAGGCGGAAGCCATGGCTGCGGCTGGGTCACAGGGTGGCTGGGGTTTGACCTGGCGGCCATGATGGACTCTAGACCCAGGAGCCACTCGGGCACAGGACGGGACGGGTTGAGAGATCTGGCCATCCAGGCCCTGAGTGTGCCCTCGCTCCTCCCCACCTTCTGCCGTGGCCTTGAGCCCCTTGCGCCCGCGCCCATGGGGTTAAATCTCTCCCTGTCTCTCTCTGCTCCAAGTTGTTTTCCAAGCGAGGCAGAGAATGGTTCTCTTGTTACCAACATGGCTTCTGGGCATTGGGTAATGCGCTCCCTCTTCTCCCGCAGCGCCACAAAGGGACCTTTTGTTCCCCTCCCTGCCCCTCTCGCTGGCTCTTCCCGGCCCCCCACCCACCCCAACTCCCTCCTCCCCACGCCGCCGGCGCCCGCACCCCGGGGCTGCGCGCTGACCGTGGCGGCCACGGCGCCCTCCCTCTCCCGGCGCCTGCATTGGCGGCCGCCATCTTGCGAGTGGCCCTCGGGGCGGCTGCGGCTTTCCTGGGCCTCTCGGGGCCGGGGCGGTCGTGGGGGGCGTCTGGGGCCCCACAGGACGTCCCTGACCCACCTTACGCCCCCCAGGGAGTGGCAAGACCCTTGGGTTTCCAGCCTCCGCGCCAGGCCTCGTCCCTGCACGGGACAGGTCGCGGCCCTCCGCCATTTCCCGCGGCCCTTGCTTCCCGGGAGCGGCTCCCGCCTGACGACTGAGTGGACTGCGCTGGAGGGGGCCGCCGCTGGGACCCAGCCCCTCCAGAAAGAGCCCTCTCTGCACCCGCTCCCACCCGCGCGAAGCACAAGATGGGGCTGTCCCCGAGACAAAGCCTAAAACCAACTGTACCGGAATTTTTGGAAACTGAAACACAACGTGTCCAAGATGGGAATGTCAGGAAGCCAGCCAACGAAGTGTCTGCCCTCCGGGGACACAATATCTGTCCACTCTCCCTGCCCACGTCCCCTCACAGCCCTGCAAGGTGGGTAGGGACGGCCGATGCCATTTTTCAGATGAGGAAGCTGAGGCACAGAGCGGCTCCACAGCCAGGACTGGGCGCTCATCCAGTTGACTCCAGCGCAGATCCTCCCTTCCCAGGGCAGCCACCCCCGCCTTGTGAGAGCCGTTGCCCGGGGGAGGGGAGGGATGGAGGCCTGGGCAGTTCACCCAGGCCCAGGAGCCAGAGCCCTGGCAGGTTGCACGCAGCTGCTCCCGAGAGGCACAGCTTCCACCCCTGCACCAGCCCTGCCTCCACAGACGCGCAAAGGAAGCAAAGCCACTGCTGGCCAACCACCTTGGCGTTCCAGCCAGGCACAGACATCCAGAGAGGAAACCCACGCACCTGGCACTGGACGGGGTGGCGGGCAGGGATAGGGCGAGGGCCATTGAGTTCAGCGAGACCCTGGCGGCTCTCAAGGAAGACAGGCAAATCAGCACAGAGCCCCTGTGCTGCAAGATGGGGCCTGGGCTACCCAGGAGCTCCTAACCTGAAGTTGGGAAAGGAAGGCTTCCTGGAGGAGGTGACTGTGAATAAAATCTCAAGAGATAGTAAAAGTTCTGCAGGCAATGAAAATGAGAAATAGGGTCAGGCATGGTGGCTCACACCTGTAGTCCCAGCACTTTGGTAGGGTGAGGTGGGAGGATCACTTGAGACCAAGGAGTTGGAGACCAACTTGGGCAACATAGGGAGGCTCTGTCTCTACAAAAAAATTAAAAAATTAGCCAACCATGGTGGTGTCTGCCTGTGGTCCCAGTGGTCCCAGCTACTTGGAAGGCTGAGGCCAGAGGATCACTTGAACCTGTGAGGTGGAAGCTGTAGTGAGCGGAGATCACACCATGGCACCTCAGCCTTGGCACCAGTGAGACCCTGTCTCAAAAAAAAAAGAAAATAAATTGAGAAAAGGGTAGGAAAGCAGATGTGAATGGCAAAGCTGGTGGGAGAGGCACCCCAGGCCATGGGCTGGAGCAGAGAGGGCCTGGCAGGGGTGGTGGGAGAGGCGGCAGGGGGAGGACCGGTCAGCAAAGTGGCCACAGAGGTGGGGGACTCCAGAGGACCAAGGGTGACCTGGGAAGGTGTGTGGACTAGATCCTAAGGGCGATGAGGTCACTGGAGGATTTCAAGGGAGTCAGATTTGTGTTCTAGAAAGATCTTTACCATATGGGCTGGCCGTATACCAGTCTGGTTTATTACTGTTTTCCTAGCACCTAGCTCAGTGCCAGCACACAGTAGATGTTCACTAAATGCTTTGAATCAATACACAGGTGCCAGCTGTGTATCCAGAGGCGATGGTTAACTCCTGTGAGGGTCCTTCAGCTTCAGTTTCCTCCTTTGTGAACGAGGACACTGGCACCTGCCTCGTGGGCATGTCGTGATGGTGAAGGGAGCTTGGCAGTTTGGGCTTGCTGTCCTGCACGTGGTCAGCACTCTGTAATGGCAGCTTTTATAAAATGTGTGGAGGATGTCCCAAGGGGGAGATGAGGGCAAGGACCCCAGTCAGGAGTGGTCAAGTCAGCCAGAGGAGCGAGAATAACGATGACAACAGTGACGATCAAGGGCTGAAGTTCTTCATGTATTGCATTCATGTCATCCTCAACACAGCGAAGGAAGGCGGCACCATAGTTATCCCTGTGTTATTTTCCAGGAGGCGGTGGCTCAGAGAGGAGTGACTCACCTGAGGCCCCGTGGCCAATGCGTGGTGGATGGAAGTACATGGAACGCCAGAGCCAGGCTGGTGACCAATGCTGGTGGTGGGGACTGGTCAGGGTGGCCACCAGGGAGGCGATGTGAGGACACGGTCCAGACTGATGAAACAGGTGACGGGGGCAGGCACAGGGGGAGGGAGGTTTCAAGGACGCCCCTCAGTTTCTGGCCCAGGTGACCAGGTGGAAGGTCATTTCCTGAGTGAGGGACACAGCAGGACAGACAGGCTTGAGGAGGGACTGTTGGGATATCTGGAGTCTAGGAGAGGATCTGGGCGGGGGATGGAGGGGAGGGCGGAATGAGCTCATGGGGCAAGTGGAAGGCTAGTGGGCAGTGGAAGAGCTCCAGCCCCCAGAGACCCAGCCAAGGTCAAGTAATAACGACAGTAGACGTTACGTAGCCTTGACTCTGTGCAGACCTCATCCTGCGTCCTTACATTAACTCATTGAACCCTCTCAACCATTATCAAATTGGAGCCACCATTATCACCCCCATTTTATAGTTGGGGAAACTGAGGCAAGAGACATTAAGCCTGCAGTGTTGGAATAGGCAAATCTGTAGAGAAAGGAACGTGGGTGAGTGGTGGGCTGGGGAGGATCATAGCTAACGGGCACAGGCTTTCTTTTTTGGGTGATGAAAATATTCTAAAATGACTGTGAAAATATTGCACAACGCTGTGAATATGCAGAAACCCACTGAATTGTATGCTTTAAATGTGTGAATTGTATAGTATTTGAATTTCACCTCAGTAGAGCTGTTACCAAAAAGCAAGAAAGAGAGAAAGAGAATATTTGTACCTGGACACTTTTGCCTCTGGGTGGAGATTACTCCACCTCAGGAAGCAGTAAACCCCAACCACCAATTTTTGGAGGCTTGCTCCATATGACTTTGGGGAGGGGTTGGGGAGGGATGGGGTAGGATAGTGTCTCAGCTGCTCTTCCTGGAGGAACAAGGGCCCAGCCAGCAGATCACCCAGAAGCTTGGTGCCCCAGCCCCTCCTAGAGGAACCCCAGTGTCTGCTTGGGTCCAGGAACACACAGTGGCTGCCTTCCTTCCGGTCCTCCTGGTCCCCACAGGTCATGGGCTGGAGACCCAGGATGGTCTCTGTGATGGTCACACCTGGCTCCTCCCCCCATATCCCAACTAAGGCTGGGAGGCCCAGGCTGCCCTGGTGCCTAGGGGCTGTGACTGACCCATGGCCTGTGCCAGGATGGCGACTGTGAAGAGGCTCCAAGGAGCCCGTGGGTATGAGCCAGTGGGGGAATGAAAAGAGGAAGGGAGAAGTCTGCAGGCCTGCCCCACCCAGCTGGAGGGGTCAGAGAAGGAGCTGTGCTGTCCAGGAAGGTGGGGTGGCCAGCAAAGTGGCCTGGAGAGACGAGGAGGAGAGGGTGTGGGAGAGTGGCTTCCCATGCCATGGCACCTTCTCCAGAGTAGGGTCACGAGCATTCAGGAGGGAAGGAAGTGCAGACAGCTAGTGGACAGTTCTTTGGGGAAGCTGGGCTGAGAAGGGAGAGGGGGTAGAGCAATAGCTGTTTTTATTTTCTGGACTGAGAGGAAGGAATGGATAGTGGGGAGAAGAGCTGCTGACCACACAGCAGAGGGGTGGGCCAGTGGGAGAGGAGCTTCTGCAGAGATGGGGGTGTTCTGGAGCTAGATGGGTCCCCTACTCCCAGGAGGGCAGTGGGTGGGATGCGGGCTGAGAGCTGCAAAGCTGATGGCAGGAGGGGAGGCCGAGGGGCCCTGTGGCCTCTCCTCTTTGCAATAGAGGAGGGGTGTTGGGATTGTGGGGCTTCAGGGGGTTTGCTGTCTCTACTGAAGGCCCCAGAAGAAGGAAGCCTTGGGGACCAGAAAGGGTGGGTGGCGCTGGGAGAGGGCCCGCATGCCACTGCTGGGCTGTGTGGAAGTCCCCGTCTGAAACGGGGTTGTTTCTCTTGAGAGCTCCAAGTGCCAGCCATGTGCCCCTGGCCTGAAGAACAAGGGACCTGTCCTCTGTGGGTTCATTTACAGCTTTTCAGAGGTGCCCCCGCCTGGTCCTGGGCAACTTGTCATCAGCGCACCTGGTGTGGATACCGAGGAGAACTAACAGAGGCCGGGCAGCTCCCGGTGCTTCCCCAGGCCCCCAGCCCCACCCCTCAGCTGAGGACAGCACCTCCCTCTCCCACCCAGGCTGTACCTGCCACTGCCCTCCACTCCACCGGGCTCAGCACACAGCAGGGCTCAGTCAGTTTGCCCTTATGCCTGTATGCTCTGGGCAGATTTCAAAGCACTTTCCCTTAACTACCCACAGAGCACCATCTCTCCACCACTACCCGTATGCATACACACCCAGTGGGGATGGGGAGAGTTCCCCCCACCCTGGACCCAAATCAGGCACTTCCTCCCAAACGAGCCCCTCCTGTGCCTCATCGGCCCACTCGAAGGCCATTTATTCTTCCTTTTGACACAGTCCTGATACCTTGGGTGCTTCCATTCCCTAGGCTGGAGGGGAATTAGAAAGGTGCATGGGAGGAGAGAGGGCCTAGGAAAAGAGAAGACAGGTGGTAAGTTTGTTTTGTCAACATTTGCAGCCAAATTTCAAGGGAGGCCCTGGAGCCACTGTATAACACAGACATGACACCTATGGGGCTCTTGTTGAAAGACACACGGGTGCTCTGCTGGCTTGGTGGCTGTGATGACTTCAGGCAAATGGCAGCTGCATTGGTATGAAACTTTGTTAAAGCAAACTAGGTATAAATAAAGATTCATGTTCAAAGATCTGTATTGCAATGTGTCTAATTGTGAAGAACTGGCCACAACCTTAATCAACAGTAGAGGATTACAGCGTCATTCCTGTAATCCCAGCACTTTGGGAGGCTGAGATGGCTGGATCACCTGAGGTCAGGAGTTCGAGACCAGCCTGGCCAACATGGTGAAAACTCGTCTCTACTACAAATACAAAAATTAGCCAAGCGTGGTTGCGGGCGCCTGTAATCCCAGCCACTCAGGAGGCTGAGGCACAAAAATCACTGGAACCTGGGAGGTGGAGGTTGCAGTGAGCCAAGATCATGCCACTGCACTCCAGCCTGGGTCAGAGAGCAGGACTCTTGTCTCAAAAAAATGAAAAACAAAAAACCACAAACCAGTAGAGGATTGGTAAAGTGCATCATAGCACAATCCTGTGACAGCATATGACACGGTCACTAAAAAGATCCCTATGAGGATTTTTTTTTGTGGCACCAGGAGGAACTTGGGGCCACAAGTGTGTTTGAAGGGTCAATGATCAATGCCACACAGGTAACAAACTGCCAAATCTAAACATCTTACTTTTTTTTTTTTTTTTTTAGGTGGAGGTCTCGCTCTGTCACCAGGCTGGAGTGCAGTGGCACGATCTCAGCTCACTGCAACCTCCGCCTTCTGTGTTCAAGAGATTCTCCTGCCTCAGCCTCCCAAGTAGCTGGGGTTACAGGCGACCGCCACCACACCCAGCTAACTTTTGTATTTTTAGTAGAGACAGGATTTCACCATGTTGGCCAGGCTGGTCTCGAACTCCTGACCTCAGGTGATCCGCCTGCCTCGGCCTCCCAAAGTGCTGGGATTACAGGCATGAGCCACTGCGCCCGGCCCCCTTTTTTTTTTTTTGAGACAGAATTTTGCTGTGATGCCCAGGCTGGAGTGCAGTGGCGCAATCTCGGCTCACTGCAACCTCTCCTTCCCAGGTTCAAGCGATTCGCTTGCCTCAGCCTCCTGAGTAGCTGGGATTACAGACACGTGCCATCATACCCAGCTAATTTTTGTATTTTTAGTAGAGACTGGATTTCACCATGTTGGCCAGGCTGGTTTCGAACTCCTGACCTCGGGTGATCCGCCTGCCTCGGCCTGCCAAAGTGCTGGGATTACAGGTGTGAGCCACCGTGCCCGTCCAGCATCTTTCTTCTTAACACGATATATGAGGCCCTGGAAAACCTGGCCTCTGCTGGCCTCCTTAGCCTCCTCCCTCGCTGCTGAACTGCTGTGGTTCTCACAGCTGGGTTTACTCTATGCCTTTCCATATGCTGTTCCCTCTGCCTGGAATACCTTTCCCTGCTGTCCCCATCTACTTTGGTCTAACTTCTACTCCCCATTTAAGAATCAACCCCACAGCAAGATTGCTTGAGCCCAAGAACTTGAGACCAGCCTGGGCAATGTAGTAAGACCTCATCTCTCCAAAAAATTAAAAAAATTAGCTGAGTGTGGTGGCACACACCTGTGGTCTCAGGTACTTGGGGGTTGAAGTGGGAAGACTGCTTGAGCCTGGGAGGTCAAGGCTGCAGTGAGCCGAGATTGTGCCACTGAACACCAGTATGGGAGACAGAGCAAGACTTTATCTCAAAAATAAATAAATAAAAAATAAGGCCAGACATGGTGGCTCGTGCCTGTAATCCCAGCACTTTGGGAGGCCGAGGTGGGCAGATCACCTGAGATCAGGAGTTTGAGACCAGCCTGGCCAACATGGTGAAACCCCGTCTTTACTAAAAATACAAAAAATTATTTGGTGGGAGCCTGTAATCCCAGCTACTCAGGAGGCTGAGGCAGGAGAATCGCTGGAACCCAGGAGGTGGAGGTTGCAGTGAGCTGAGACTGCACCACTGCACTGCAGCCTGGGCGATCGAATGAGACTGTCTCAAAAAAAAAAAGAAAAGAAAAGAAAAAAGAGTCAGCCTCAGCATCTTCTCCTCCTCCTGGAAGCCTCCCTGGCCGCCTGGCTGGGCTAGGGTTCCCTTTTCTGGTACCCCCTAGTCCTCTGTGCTTACTGAATATTCCACACGCAGTTATAATTTTTGGTTGACTTGCTGACCCTCCACTTCCAGCCTGTGAGTCCCTTGAGGGAGAGACTGTGTCTGGTTCGCCTCCATGTCCCAGCGCTGGCCCCATCCTGGCACATCTGGGCAGGAAGTCACACGACCTGGTTCTATTCCTGGTCATGTTCCTGTCCCAGCCGCCCCTTCGGTTTCCCCATCCAAAATGTGGGAGAGCTGGGCTTTGCCAGGTCACTTCTGAGGGCACCATTGTCCAGAAGATGGACAGGGCTCGCATGGCCCAGGCCTGTGCCAGGTGCTCGAGATTGATGGGTTGAGGGCCACGGGCAGCGCCCTCAGTCAGAAACTCCCTCCGTGGCTCCCTGTAGCCCCGTGTAGAGAATGGGGTGGGTGTAGAGAGGGGGCGGAGGGCTACATGCCAGGGCCTCAGCAGACCAGACCCCACCAAAGAGGCTGGCCTGGCACCCCCCAGCAGGAACGGTGGCCCCCAGTGGTTATCAAAGGCCAGCGGGGCCCCTCCCTCCAAGGATGAGGGGGTGTCCCTGGGCTGCCACTGACAAGCAGGGCCATCCGTCAGCCCTGAGCACAATGGGGTCATTAACCCCTGACCCCAGCTCCTTTTTAGCCACTTCCTCTGAGGGCTGGGTGTATGGGGCTGAGAACGGATGGGGGATTTCTGTCAAGCCTCGCTTTTCAGCGAGGGGCCCAGGAGCAATGGCTGCTTGGCTGCTCCCAGGCTCTCTAGCTCCCAACCTCTGCGGCTCCTGCAGGGTCTGGGGGAGCCTCCCACTCTCTGTCCCCTGAGAGGGCACCCTCTAGGCCAACCACCCTCAAGCCAAAGCAGTGTGTGTGGGGAAGGACAGATAGAGACCCTGAGAAAGAGACAGAGACTCAGAGAGAGGGAAGCCGAGGTGGGCAGATCATCTGAGAGAGACACTTGAGACTCGAGACGGCTCCTTTCCCTTTACAAAGTGCGTTCACGGGAAAAATCATAG